TTATATGAGGAAGCCAAAGCATAAGTAGAATAAAGAGTAAAATAGAAGCTAGATGATAGGACAGAGGGAAATGGATCTTTTGCAAAAGGAAGGGAATCAAGAGATGGAGGGCGGGGAGGGAAAGGGGAACATGAGAAGAGTCAAAGTGGGTTATGTCGTGTATTGACTCCCTGTGATGAATGTAGTCATTATGTGCTGTCAAGGTGGACTGATGAACATTCAAAAATCAACAAAAGACGAGTTTGCAAAAGATAGATGTGCATTCCAAGTGCTGCCATTCAGGGACATGGTCAGGCGCCGAGGCTCTGTGACAGATTCCCCAAGCATGGAGGAGACCAGGAGGAAGGCTATGCCTGTTTACACATCTTCCAGCTCTTTTCTGGAATTTTTCTTTCCCACTGCTACAGTGCGTGATGGGGTTAATAAAAGGGTGGACGAGGGAGGCTGTGGAAAGGGCAAAGGTTTTAGATTTTGTACTTTTAGGTTTGGAAAGAAGTCAAGAACTCTGATTTGGAGGTATCAAGGTTAAATTTGCAATGTCCATGAGACACTGAAGACCTCAGGAGAGAGGTCTGGAATCTGGTGATGGCAGCAGTAATGCTGAGGAGTGATTGCCACGTCTACTGCATTTAGGTGACAGCAGAGTGGGGGGAAACCCTGAAAATCATGACACTCAATAAAACGGGGATGGAGTCAGACACCAAGGGAGACCACAGCCTGGCTCCGGGGCTATCAGTGTGTGGCACAGGGACAGCCAGCGTGGGGTGGCTAGGATTCCAGCCAGGAGGCAGAGATGAGATTTGGGGGCAAAAAGTTTCAAGCTACAGAGTGACTTTGGCTCAGAGCAGGAGTTATGGGTTGTGTCATGTGTTGCTGACGGCAGCATAAAAAGTAGTCTGAGAAGTGACCAGACTATAGTCATGTGGAGGCCACCAGGGCCCAGACAGGACAGCTGCTGGGCATATGAAGTAGAGAACAAATGCAGTGGGGTCAGGAGAGAGAGAAGAGGGATTGGAAATGCAAGGATGGACAGCCACTTCCTGCTGCACAGGAGACAGAGACAACAAGGCCTGTGGAAGGTGGACCCAATGAGGGGTCTGTGTGTGTGTGTAAGGTGAGAGAAATGAAGGCATATTTATTTCAAGATCAGAATAACCTATTGCCAGAAAAAACCACAAAAAATTTCCCCAGCACAACAATAAGAACAATAACAAAACAAAATGAAACATTTTCAAAGCCCCACTTTATGTCAGTGATGGTGAACCTTTCAGAGATCAAATGCCCAAATTACCACACCAAATACACTTATTTTATTGCACAGTACCCATGCCGTAGTTAAACCCAAATATCCAGTGCTCAGCTGCCAAGGGGATGTGGCTCATGTGTCAACAGAGAGGGCTCTGTGTGCCTACGGCAATACGTGTGCCGTAGGTTTGCCATCACTGATCTACACATACAAGAAGGGACCAACATGCTGCCCCCTATGGAACCCCAGAGCTGCACAAAGGGATATGGAAGGTGGGCAGGGCAGGGTGGCTGCCACAATGGCGGTCAGCAGTGCCTGAGCAAGGTGACACCAGACAGAGCACACCGTGGCTGGCCCCTTCCACTGCACAGGGACAACACAAGAAGTGCTAGGTGCTATGGGGCCACTGTTATTTATGTCCCCTTCTGCTGCCCTGGGCTGGTGACCATCAGTGAGGGAAGTCCAGGGATGCTAGGGTATTACAGGATGACAAGGCTGTCACACCAATCATCTTTAGAAAAGGTAGGTTGAAAAAAAGTCTGCTCACACGGGGGAGGGAAACTTAACTGCAACCCAACACATTTCCTCCTGACAAATAAAGCACATTAGTTCTAGACTATTAACTCCAATATTAAGCCCAAGATACATTTGTTCACTTTAGCAGTTAATGTGTACTAAAAATATCCCATTTTTTCCTCTGAAGAGAATTACTCCATTTTTCTTTATCACTTGGGTGTTCTGTTGCTTTGATAAAGGCATTGTGGGAAGGGGCATGCTGGGATAGAGAGTTTAAGGGTTGCAATAATTCAGAAAGATTCATAGCCTGGAATCTTGCTTAAACTACATGATGCAGCTCCTGAACTGGCTTGCACAAGAAGCTTGCCAGGGCAGAAGGTCTAGATCCTCTCTAATGCAGCACAGTGTCTCGAAATCAGACGGACCTACATTCAAGTCTAAATTTTGCTATGATATTGATCAAATTCCTTAACCATCCCAAGGATATTTCCTCATCTGCAAAATGGGAACAATAGAAGTTATGAGAATAAAATTAATATGCATAAAACACTTAGCCCAGAGGCTAATATATAACTAGTGGATTATGATTATGATAAAGATATGATGATGATTATGACAAGGAAGAGGATGAAGAAAAACAGGAAGAGGATAATCTGGTGAGGACAGTAGTGGTACTAAGGGGTGATTCCCATGTCTACTGCTAACAACTCAATCATGGGTGAAGCTTTTACCCTCTCGGGGCCCAACAGTCTGCCTGCCTGCTACACTGTGGGTCTTTGGTAAAGTCTTAACACGTAAGTGAATGTTTTAATAATTTCTAAGGCTCATCCCAGCCTGCAGCATGAGATAACTGAATGAATTCATAGTAATCTTTTTATGGACCTTTACACTTAGACTTGTAGTATAAGAAAATGCGTGAATTCTCCATGGCATTTGTAAAAAAATAATTAGAAACCACTATCGATCTTGGGTCACTCACTTTAAACTATCAACTTTTAAGGGGCAGGAAGCAAGGGCATGATTAAGAAGAGGAATAAATGAAGGGGAAATAGGAGAACTTCTAGGAGCAGTTCGGGGAGACCATTTTGTTTCCAGGCTCCAAAAAGCCTGTTCTTTGGGGAGACCACCAGACAAAACTTCACTCACAGTTACAAAGGGGTGGCCCTTCTGTGAAAGACCACACACCCCTGCTGGTTCATCCATGAGAACCCCAGTGCACTCTAAGTGGATTCCCAGAGCAAGGCTGTGCAATTTCTGCTGGTGCATAGCTGCCTTCCCAATGGCTTGTGTTAAATCCTGACTTTGGGGCTCTGAGGAAAGCCTGGCTGATTTTCTGTGGCCAGAGAGACAGCCAACTCATCTCCAGGCCAGTACCACTGACTTGCTGATGACACACGCACTCCTGGTTCTATTCACTGGTCCAGATGCCTGCAGAAGCTTACGTGACCTTGGGACACCAGATCTCTGCTCGACTTTATTTTGCATGTGCAGTGCTGATTTGGTCCTGCTCAAGCCATGGCACCCTAGAATCTTCCAGAACCTTCTCACGTACTCTGAACCCTGAAGCTTGAATTTGCTGTCCCTTAATTCTGATCTTTCAGTGAGGCTCAGAATCTGCCTCCTCACCAGCTTTTTTGCTTTGCTTTTCCTGGGTGTTGTCTCTCATTTACCCTGGGTTCTCCCAAGGTTATTTAGCACACACCAAACTTTTAGATGTGGATTTTTCCAGGGCTCTGCTCTCTCATTTCTCTAACAAGTCCTAGTTTATCCCCAGAAGACTGAGTTCACACACTGTCTCTGAAATACCTTTCTGGGTGAAGGAGGAAATCAATTCCTTCTTGCATTTTGCATAGCTGCTCATCATTTGTCTGCAGGATGTGATCCTGTGCTCATTAAGGAGAGGAACTGTAATGTATTTCCAAGGTCTGGCCCAGAGCTTGCCCTTTGTGTGCACACTCGTCTATGCCATGCTTTGGCACAAACATACTCCAGAAACTCAGATAGCCTCAAAGCAAAAGGTGAAATCAGTGCCTCCGTCAGCAGAATTACCTGTGCTCAGGATAGAACCTCGGTTTCTGTGTGTAGTCTGTTGCCATTCACAATGTTCTCTTCTCATATCTCCCTCATTTTTATAACATACGTTTGCAATTAAACTAGGGTCAGATATTGATAGTGAAGTCATAGTAGAGAAGGAAAAAGAAGCTGTTGCTCAAAGTAGGAGATGAAAGGCATTATTAATTGATTTCTGAGAGTTTGGGACTGTGAGAAACATTTTGGAGGCAGTTGGACAGCTAAAAGTACAATCTGCAAAACAGGGTAATGGAAAGAACATAGAATTTTAGAAGTCAGAAAGTGGGCTTTGAGCCAAACTGCTGCTGACTGGCTCTATGACCTCCTAAAAGCAACCTGGCCTCTCTAGACCTCATTTCTTATGAAAGTAAGGATTTGAGCTGGACCTCAAGCATTGCACTTGAAAGGGTCCCAACCTGGAGTATTTTCAAGTGTGTTTTACTGAAGCACAGGCTGGAGGCAGAGTGCAACGTCAAGATAACCCTGCTGCAGGGAAGAAACAGCCGGGAGGGGATAGGGAGCCATTCATAAGGCTTTGATACAGGAGGGGAAAGAAAGAGATCATGCCAGCCCCCAAACAGTACACTGCCTTCTGCCCCAATTCTCTTTTGTTTTGTTATCTTAAAAAAATTCTTCCTAAAATAGCCAGGTTTGGTGCAGATTAAAGTTCAAGAGGGAAAATAAACTCATCAGCATCTGCACAGCAGGTTCCCTGTGTTTGGCAGGGTCTCTCAGGAGTCCTTTGTCATTGCTTTTTCCTCCGCCTGGAGAAGCTGACAGTAAGAGGACAGAAGATCATGGAGGACCACAGAGAAGGCAGGCAGGTTCAGCTTCCTTCAGGGCTGTTGCTTAGCAACAAGGCAAGTATCCCTATGAACTAGTGACTCCAGGAGGGGACCCAGGGAGAAAGCGTCTTCAGCATATTTGTTTCTCAGGAAGCTGATGTATGTTAAGTCTGCCAGGGAGCACCATGAAATGAGAGCTGGGTTTTATCAGGTCTGCATGGTCTTAGTGTTAGAGTAAGGTGACTGTAACAGCAAAGCCCTGCACATCTGCAGAGCTCGCACAGCCAGCAAAGGGACAGAGAACAAAGGAACCAGGACATGGGGGGGGGGGGCTTGGGTGCTGGGGAGGGAGCTCCTCAGGGCTCCAAGGACTCTGTACTCACCACTTATCCACTTTGCCTCTGGATCATGGATTTTAAAATCTTTACTGAAAAGATCTTCCACGGTGACCTTCTTCTTTTGAGATAGACTATTATCTTCCGCTAGAAAAGAAATGAGAGCAATAGTGAGACTTTTTAATTGGTTAAAATAACATATATATATTATATAATTTTTGGTAAGTGAGTAGTCAACAACAGCTAGTCTTGCTTTTTCTTTTTCATTAAACTATCAACATCTATGGCAATTCAGTAAAACAGCATCTCTGGAGCCTTACGTGCATACACAATGCATAAGTGGTTCTGTTCCTTAGAAGAGAGGCAAATACTTCCAGGCTGATGCATGAGTAAGGTGGGGATAATAAGACAGAAGGAGCTCTGTAATGAGTGTAAACAATCACTCATTAAATGTCAGATGCTACTAACTACAGGCAGTGTGTTGGCTGCTGGGAATTCAAAGACACACGAACTATTCCATAAGTGTTTATGATCCATAGCCTCACTTGTCCCTGGCTACCACTGGGTTCTGGGTTAGTGCTTATTCCGACAGAACGACACCCAAATAAACACCTGCATGCCAGTTGGCTGACCAGCCTGCCTCATCCATGTTTAGGAGAAAACCCTTGACATAAGCCCCTGAAGGCATCAAACTAAGACCCAGCCCCAGAGGGCATTTTTGCTCATGGCCCTAATGTGTAAGACTTTAAAAGCCTGGCAGCTTTTTGCAGAGGTCAAAGCTTCCAGGATGTTAGCTCTCCTGGGAAGAGGCTGTCTGTATTACAGTCACAGAAATCCATTTGTTTGTCCTATTAGGAGAACCTCAGCTAACAAGAAAGCTCACAGAGCAATCCACCAAGCAAGCACCTCTTCTTTATAGTAACAAGAATCTCCATTTCCTCACCTGTCTCTGCTATGCAGCATCTACCTGGGCGCCTAACCAAGGATGTTAACATTGCTGCACTGCTCTTGATGGCTTATGTCCTTCTGTTGGGTCCCTCATATTCTTAGTTTGTGCTGTGCAGCTGTGGGGTCATCCTGGGGCTAACTGTGCACAGCCTCTGGTAGCTGAATGTGGATTGGTGAGTGTCTATATTTGATCTCTGCTTCTTATGTCTCTGCAATTTCTGTCCATTGGACCAGCACTGGGCCGTGATGGTTCCTGTTCTCCATAGTGCTCTTTGCGTCTTTTAATTTTCTCTTTCAAAATTTCTAGCAGGTTGGGAAAATAGCAAAGAATCTAGAATTGTATAATGAAGTAGGAATAGACAATTTCTGGATGAGCTCTTCAAAAGCATCTTTTAGGGCTACTGGTCATAGTTTTTTTGTGTGACACAGTTTCTCCTTTCTGGCCTCTCTGGATATTAGAGTATTGAAGTTACCAGACAAACCAAGTGTCCCTTGTGCATTGATTGATTTCCTGGCTATCAAATGAAATGACTTTGGATGAAAGGTTTCTGAAAGCTGCAGAATGCTGCAACTCAGGGCGGTTCTTGTAAGATGTAACTGAGTGTGAAGCTACATGGCTGATTCTTCTCTCCAGCTGGGTTCTATCTGCCACTGAAGCTGCACTGGAAAAGACACACAGTTTCTAACAAATGATTTTCTCATGAAAAAAAACCCAACAGAAAATAGGATTTAAAGGTGAGTAAATATCCATCGAAGACGACGCTACTTGACCCAGCAATTAAGAGCGATAAATCTTTCTGTGACACTCTCTAAGTATATGATCAACAAACAAGCTTAAATATCATGTTTTATCTCGTATGGGAAGCCCAAAGTATAAATAAAGTAAAGAGCAAAATGAAAGCTAGATAGTAGAAAACAGAGAGACCTTTTGCAAGAGAAAAGAGGATCAAGAGATGGAAGGGGAGAAGAGAGAAAAGAGATCCATCAAAAATTTATAAGTGATGTATACATATACCAGCTCCCCATTATGAATGTGATCATTATGTCCTGTAAACATGTACTACTAGGAAGAAAAATTAAAAATACAGTCACATTAAAACTTACATTGTACCTAATTAAATTTCACTATTTGAGGATGATTCTGGTTCCATATTCTGAGGTTTCAGTGTGTCAAATAAGATAAAAATACAGGAGTAACATTTAAACAAATCAGGGGAATGAAAGATGGGAAAGCAATTTATTCACTTGCTAAAAATTTTTTTCCCATGAATGTTTTATTATTTTGAAAAATGCTCTCCTTATTTGGTTTCTGAAGACACGTTGACAACGTACAGATTTTTATATGAAGCAAACGAAGCACCATGGAATGTGTTCTTCGAAGTACCTTCGGAGCCAGAAGCTTGACTTTGTCAGTGACTGACTCTGTATCCCTAAGAAACTCAGAGCTGGCCAGCCAGGATGCTGAAGACTCATTCATACATCCAGCCAGCTAACTCGCTCACTGACTGGCAGTGGGACATACTCCCAAATCATTTGAGGTGACTATGAGCATGCTGACCACCATGTTCCAGGAACCATGCTGAATTCTGAAAATCCAAGACAGCAGATTTCACTCTTGACTGCAAGAAACTCATGGTGCTGTGAGAGCCAAAGCCATAATACTATGGTGACGTTGGGTGCTGAGAGGAGGAGAACCTGTCCTTCTAACATCTACGGTGACCAGGGAGTGGGAAATCGGGAGGGACTATGGGAAGACTTTCTTGAGAAAATGATCTTGAGCCAAGATAAAGGAGGTAAAAGAACATACAACTAGGAAGAATTAAAGGTATTGGTGGGTGCAGTATTTTCAGGAAACTGTAGTGTAATGGCATGGGCCAGAAATAGCTAGACATGAAGGCAAATTTGGTCATCATGTTTGCTATCCTAAAACTCCATTAGGGCAGGTTCACCTGCAGGGTGTCATCTCAAATTCCATGCATGGGTCAGTAGCACCTCCAATGTAAGAATTACATATCTCCACATCAGAAGTAGTTCCAGTAATTACCTCCTCAGCACCACTGTCCTCTTTGTTCCTCCCAGAATTGCAGCCAGCTGTGCAGAGCTCTGGGGGTGATCTCCGCGCCCACACTTTTTCTTTCACGTTTTCCACCTTTCTATGTCTTTAGGGAACATTTCCATGATATCTTCAGTTCAGTCTTCCATTTACCACTATTGTCTTTAGCATATCTGACTGTTCTTTTATCCAGCTACTAAGCTTTTAAATTTAAGATGATTAGAATTTTAAATTCTAAAATTCCTCTTTTCCAAGATTATCAACTTTTGCATTAAATTTCAGGCTCCTTTAGCCAATGAATAACTGTTTGAAAAGCCTAAAAGATTGTTTCCCGCTTTCCCTATTGATGTAGACTTCCTTGGATCTCAGAGACCTGTGTAGGTTGGTGCTTGGCTCCCTGGGCAATAGCTTCTTCCCAAGAAGGCCTTGATCGGATTTCTGGTCCTAGTGTACTTGGTTGTGAGAAACTCTAAGTGCAGTCTCATCAGGTAGTTTGAAGATGCTCTCTGGGCAATGGTTCTTGATCAGATCTCATTTGAGCTGCACCCCTTGTCCCTAAATTGGCAATGTTTAAGGCAGGGGTTCTAGTCTAGTCCCTGTCCTCTCCAGGACAGCAACACACCAGCCCTTCCCTGACTTAAACCTCCCTGTCTGTGGGTTGCAGGATCTGACTTGGCCTCCTGCTACAGGTTCCTTCTTGGTCTTCCCAGGAACACTTCTCCGTCCTGCATGAGTGGCACTCTTCCTGTTTCTGAATGCAGCTACAGTTTCATTATGTATTTCTCGGTTACTTTCCCATGCTTGCTTCTAGAAAGGAGGAGATCTCTTCCAACAGGAGGGCAGTCAACCTTAAATCAGAGATGCAAGAAGCAGCCTCTGGTTTTTGTAATTTGGAATTCACCCTAATGGGAATCTGGGAATCAATGAGAAGTAAAATTTCTTGCAGGTCTTTACCTTTGTGCATTATCAATACCATAGGATAAAAACAAAGTTAGTGAAGACTGGCACAATGGTCATATATGGGTTCATGGAAGAGACAGTTATAATTTAGATCCAAGATATCCTCCCAATGACTCATGTGTTCAGAGGAAGCCTTTAAAAGATCATCAACAGACTGATGAGCTCATAGCTCAATGGGCTGTTGAAGCAGAGCTTGATGGAAAAAGTAATCTCTAAGGATACATCCTTGAAAGTTATGTCTTGTCTCTGGCTGTGTTTTGCTCCTTCTGCTTCCTGGCCACCATGAGGTTGGTAATGTTGCTCTGCCCTTCTCTTCCACCATGATTATTCTGTTTTGGAGCCAGTTGATCAGGGACTAAACCCATGGCCAAAATTAACCTCCACTCCTTCAAGTTGTATGTGTCAAATATTTTGTCCCAGCAACAGAAAAGTGACCAACACGGAGACTCTATGCTGAGCTCAGAGTAGAATACATTTCTTTTTTAGAGTACAGTTAGACACCCAACTTCCAAGCACTCAAGTTGCAAACTTTCACAGGTACACTGTATAAAGCTCACTTTGCCAGCTTATGAATGAATCTGACTTATGAATAATTCTCCTGGAATGGAACTCATTCATAAGCCAAGGACTTACTGTAATGTTTTATGTTATTTCTACAAAAGCTGGTGATTTGTTTTCTCCCTTACAAGCACATGGGGAATCAAGGTGACTGCCTCGTTTGCAATGATGATACCATTAGATCAAGAGTTCTGCTGAGGTACTAGATGTGCCAGTGCAACCTGTTCTGCTAGTGATGGACCTCTCATGGATATGGCTCGTCAGCACCCTGCACTAGGCACTGCCAGGTACATGAATTGGCACTTCAAATTAGACTTCCTTTTAAGTAAGAAGTGTGGTCAGTGACACCTGCTGTAGATGCTATCATGCTTCCTTGAGAGATCTTTATCATAATGAAGGAATACTTTTCTAACATGCTGTACTATCAATAGATCAGGGACACTGAAATGTAAAACCAGATACATCTCTGCAAATTGCAAGGTGCACCCTGGGGATTTTTGACCTATTTCTGAATAAAGCGTACAGCCGCAGCAGATTCTTCACTAGATGAATCCTGGGCTCAGTGCTGAGAAAGTGGTGTCTGAGCTGCACACGGAACCCCTGGAGACAGGAGAGGCAGCAGCTGTGT